TGTGTGTGTGTGTGTGTGTGTGTGTGTGTGTGTGTGTGTGTGTGTGTGTGTGTGTGTGAAAGGGAAAGAGAGAGTGATAAGAGCTGCAGAGGGAAGAATTGGCTCCATCTACAGCTATTTGTCCCTTCCAGAAATGTGTTTTCATGACAGACTGTTTCAGACCCAGCGAGACAAAGGAAGCTTTTCCAGCACATATTATGAATTCCAAAATGTATAATAAATACACATTTTACAAAAGCAATATGTGTTTTAAAATATAATATATGCAAACAATCTTATAAATCACTAGGTTTGACACGACTCAGCCGAAGAGGCTTCTGGGGAAATGGTGTTGTGCGTGTGCGTGTGTTTTTAATAATGTAAAAATATGTGTAATATGTTTGAAAAACAACAGCCAAAAAACCCTTCTACCTGCCAACTTTATAATACTTATTTCCCCAGAGTCTGCTATATCCTAGATTCTCGGGAAAATAACAGGGGGCTTACATAAAAAGTATAAATATGAATAAGATGTAAAAACTCCACCCATCTCCATATATATTTCCCCAATGGACTTGACCAGCCCAAGCATCATATGTCAAAAAAATATGCATTTTATGGTCTTCGTACAAAGGTTTCTATAATGGTCTTGTGTGAAGCAGAGCCACAGGCTACCAGGGAGGAGCATTCCATTAGACACCCCTTTCTGACACACCCCACAGGGCCTGGTGCTGTCATGGTGTGTTAGGGGCTAAAATGTTACCCCACACTATACATTTGTGCCTTTTGGTAGCTGGCAACATCTCTGGATTTTTCTTTGTTAGGGTGAGGTAGAAGATGTGTTGGGCAGAGCGGGGTCCCTGGCTTCCTGCTCTAGATTTTGCAATCTCCTTATGTAGCTTTATGGGTTCTATCTACTTATGGGTACTGAGTCACTAAATGTCAATATCCTAACCGATGTGTGATGTGGGGGCATACATGTGTGCCATGGCACACGTATAGAACTCAGAAGACAGCCTTGGCTGTTGGTCCTTGCCTATGCCCTGGTCTGAGACACAGGGTCTCTTGTTGTTCACACTGTATATCCTAGGACATCTCATTCTCAGGCTTTGAAGGATTCATTTCCCCCCCTCCACCTCCCCTCTCATACATGTGCACTGCTAAACCTTTGCATGGGTTCTTGGGATTTGAACTCAGATCCCCACAGTTGTGTGGCAAACACTTCACCTACCCAGCCATCTCCCTGGTCTAATCATAATCCAAGCTTGATGTATCTGTCTTTTCCTGTTCTGCCCAAACTAACAAAACGAACTAGAATTTACCTTGTTACAACCAAACTTGGAACACAGAAATGGGGCAGAGAAGGGGTCGAATCTACTTAGGAAGAAGACCTTTCTGCATGCTAGAAGAAGAGAAAGGATGTGTAGAGGTGTTCATTTAAGCTGTTCCTAAAGCAGAGAGAGAGAGAGAGAGAGAGAGAGAGAATTCACAGTGAGAGAGTCTTTCCATGAACTTGTGGTACAGAATACTGTGCAACCATTGCAGAGAACACTTAGAGCATTTCTGAACTGTGCGTCACACTCATACATGATAGAACACAGTGGGTTGACAAAAACACCATGTGAATCCAAACCTTAATCATCACCTCCCCATTTTTCTCTCCCAACCCCGGACAATCACTATTCTGTTCTCTATGTTTGACTATTTTAGGACCCAAATATAGGTAAAATCATGCAATATTTGTCTTTCTGTGTCTACCTTATTTAATTTAAAATAATGCATTCCTGTCTGCCCATGTCATTAGCAACAAAATTTTCTTCTTGGGGGTGGGCTGAGTAATACTCTGTGTGTGAATTAACCATAATTTCTTTAACTATTCACCCATCTATGAATACACAGGCTCTCTCCATATTCTGACTTTTTGGAATGATGATGCAGTGAACGTATCTGTACATACATGTATGCATTCATACATACATGCTTACATACAAATGTCTCTTCAGCATGCTGACTTCAATCCCATTGTATAAAAATACCCAGAAATGGAATCCCTAGGCCATCAGGTAGAGAGCTACTGTTTAAAGGTGCGCCAATCATACCCATTGTGCTGGTTTGAATGAAAAATAGCCTCCGTAATCTCAGGCATTTGAACACATTTGTCTCTGTTTGGAGAAGTTTAGATGGTGGAGTCTAGCTGGAAGAAGCATGCCACTGAGGGTGGGCTCTGAAGACTTACAGTCTCACCCTACTTCCTGTTCACTCTCTGCTTCGTGCTTCCTTTTGAAGATGTGAGCTCTCGGCTTCCTGTTCCTGCTGCTATGCCAGCCACTTGATGCTGTGCCTCCCTCCATGATGGACTCTCACCCCTCTGGAACTGCAAGGCCCAAATAAGTTGCCTTGATCATGGCATTTTATCCCAGCAACAGAAAAATAACTAATACCCCTCTCAGCAGTATACACAAGTTCTCCTTTCTCCACATCCTCACCAGCAAATACTTTTCGCTTCCCATTCTGAGCTAACAGGTGGGAGGTGATAATGGCAGTGATTTAGGCTTGCATTTCACTAGCAATTGAAAACCTTTAGATACATTCCTTGGCAGTTGGCATATCTTGTATGGAGAAGTGTCTGTTCAGACTTGCTGTGTACTTTTTAACTGCCTAAGTTGGGGAACTGCTATTGAGTTGCATGAGCTCCTTATGTTGTGGATATTAACCCCCATTAGCTATGTGGTTTGAACACATTACCTCTCATCCCACAGACTGACTTTTCACTTACTGGTTGTTTCCTTCCTGTGCAGGAACTTCTTAATTTTGTGTGTTCTCACCTTTGTATCACAGAGGAATTTCCTGTGCTTTTTTTTTTTTTTGGTGAGGGGGTGTACTTTAACAATCTTTGCTAGCTTTATCCTGTGTTTTCTTTGAGGAGCAGTTACATTTAAGTCTTTCGTCTATTGGGGGGCAAATGTCTGTGTATGATACAAGATTAGAACCCAGTCTCGTTCTTTCATATATGGATAGCTGATTCACCAGTAGCACTTATTACTGAGGCTACCTTTTTCCCAATTGTGTCTTTGGCGCCTGGGTGAGATGCAGGTGACCATCTATGCATGGGTTTCTCGATGGATCTCCTGTGCCAGCCACTTTCAGGCTGAGCCTTCCCACCACACTTAACATAAGCAAGACAATTCCCACAGACACACTCGCAGGCCAGCCCGATCTAGACAACATTTTATTGACACTGTTGGCTGGTCATTCTAGAGCATGGCAAGTTGACAGCTAAAGCGAATCGAGTATTAACAACAAAGGAGTGACTGGGTACTGACCACACAGCCAGCCAGCAGAGGGTCGGCTGGGGTCCTCATTACCTGAAAAGATTTTCTAAAAATCTAGAACTTACTGAATTAAAGTTATTTTCTCCATGTGGAAAAACTTCCTTTTTGTCATTATACTTATAAAACAGAATATCACTTTATACCCACGATCCATAAAAAATACATTGTGTACTACTGACTGCTGATAGAATAACATACCTAGTGGGCTTATTATGGCACACACACACACACACACACACACACACACACACACGCATGCACGCACATACACACACACAATCTTTTGCATGTCTGGCAACAAAAATCTGGTGCTTGGTTTACTAAAGCTCCATTAAAGTAAAAATAGGAAGGAAGAGAGGAAAAGAAAAGATAAGAAAAGAAAAGAGAGAGAGAGAGAGAGAGAGAGAGAGAGAAAGAAAGAAAGAAAGAAAGAAAGAAAGAAAGAAAGAAAGAAAGAAAGAAAGAAAGAAAGAAAGAAAGAAAGAAAGAAAGGAGGGAAGGAGGGAAGGAGGGAGGAAGGAAGGAAAGAACAAGTCTTTGCTTTGTCTGGGTCATTGGAGTCTTAAGTTTAAAATTCATACAAAATGAAGTAAGTCTGCAAGCGGGCGGAGGAGCTAGGAGGTTGGATAACTAGCAACTTAACTGTAAAGATTCTGGCTGAGATACACAGATGGGAGGGTCTGGGCATGAAAAGGAAGTTGTGTCCTATTAGAATAGGAAGATTGGGCTTCTCCCAACTTAGGAGACTGGGACACAATTCTTCTCACTGATGTGAAAACATGGTCTAACGGGACAGTCTCAGCATCACCGCCAACGAAAAAAAGTCTCATTTTAAGTGAGACTATCAAGACCCACATTTCTTATGACACTTCAGCTTGAGAACTTCTTCTTTGGGTTTTGATGATGATGTCTTGTTTTCATTGTCAACTTAACACGACCTAGATTCACCTACATATGAGAGAGAGTCTTCATTGAACAGTTGTGTAGATCAGGTTAGCCTGTGGGCATGTCGAGGAGGAGTTAAATGTAATGTCTTATTGTGAATTGATGTGGGAAGACCCAGCCCACTGTGGGCAGTCCCATTTCCTATTAAGAGGGCCCTGAACTGTGTAGGAAGAGGAGATAGAAAGCAATCGAGCGAGCAAGCCTGCAAGCTCCATCTCTCTCTGCCCCTGGGGACAGATGTGGTGTGACTAGCTGCTTCAAGCTCCTGCCACCTTTTTCTCTGCTATGATGGACTGTGACCTGACATTGTAATCTGAATAAACCTCTCTCCCCTAAGCTCCCTTTTGCCAGCATGCTTCATCCCAACAGTAGAAAGAAAACTAGACCACTCATCATTTACCAATTTAATAGAAAAGAATGAGGTATCCAGAAATGTCTTCTTTGAGACACAAATATTAAAAGGTGCGTCTCTTTCTCCACCATCAGCAAGGCAGATGAATTCAAAGAAGAGTGAATCAGGAAATTGCCAGTGACTGCTCTCTCAGCTTTTATTAGGCCTGTTGGTGACCTACAGACAGAAACACTTTCACTACAATGTCATAAAAATTTAATTCTTTCTACAATTTGGGGAGTTAGTCTCCTCTGTAAGCGGTGGAGGAAAGCACTTTGGTGCTTCTGGGTTTTAATAAAGAGTCCCTGTGCCCAGTAAGAAAAACAAGTCGGATAGCACCTCAAGCTAGAAGCCACCGTGTCTGGCCTTGCTCTGGAAGCCACTGGCTGACCTTGAGAATGGTTTGTTATCAGGGGGGAGGCAGGAGTTAAGCAAAGCCGGGGTGACTGCTGGCTCATTCTGGAAATTAAATATTTCCATTAGCTGGAAAACAAGAGCGTCAACATGCCGTTTGTCGGCCTTGAGATCTGTCTTGATTAAAATGCTGCAATTGTGCCAACTGCGTTTTGTAAATCAACTTAGCATTTGTCAAGCCCTCAGCAAGCCCTTTTGAGAAAAATCAGAAAGTATAATGCATAAGCAAGAACTCAAATTAAAGAATTTATCCATATATCTCATGAAAGCAATTCAGGATACAAAAAGAAAATAGGTTATGTGATTTAACCTATCTCTCAGTTGCTATGGAATCCTTCCTCCAAGACACCCGGCGCTTTGTATGTTAGCAATCTGTTAGCATCAATAGAAATGCATCCTAAACCTTAGAAGGTAAGACAGAAAATGGTAGAGAGCTGGCTGTCGTGCGTTTACCTGTAACCTCAACACAGAGGAGGGTGTGGTAGGAAGATCGCAAGCTTGAAGCTAGGCTGGCCTGCATGGTGACTGTTACAAGAAAATACACAGGAAAATAGCTCACTACAGTGCTAAGGACTTCCTGGTTTCAGAGCTAGCCTGGGTTTTTCTTCCATCTGATGGAGTGTTTGTGACATCCGCAAAATATACTTCCCTCCTGTCAACAAAGATGTTCTCCATTCAGGGAAAACTTGACATTTGCCTTAAGTGATTTCATTGTGAGAGTTTGAAAGTATTTTCTATTTTTGAAAAAAATAAACAAGTGCAGCAGAAATGTAACAAAGTTACTCCACATTCCAGAATTGCAGAAACCACTTTACCATGAATGAGTATATTAAAACGCATGTTGGGAACCACTTTACCATGAATGAGTATATTAAAACTCATGTTGGGACCGTTAAATCTGAGGGGTGCAGGTACGTGATAAATTCACACATTGAATTGCCCACTACTGCTTCAACATATAAAATCTCAGGAGAAAGCGTTTAATATGGAGATAGACTAGGAAGTCCCCATGGAACAGAAATACAGAGTAATGACAGGGACAAAAGCCATGGGCCTCACAGATTGGCCACCTGGAAGTCTGCAGTGGCTTCCTGGAACTGAGCTCTGGTGGGACACCAAAGACTCGACTTGCCTGATGGGAAGTTACTCTGCACTTGAACCACGAGTTCAGGACAGAGTGAAAGAGCAGGAATGAAAACGAAAGTCCTGCCCAGAGATACAGGCTTGTTGGCTATGGGGAAGTTGGAGACAGCTATGGCTCCTGAAGAGGACATACAGCTTTGGTGGCTGGACCCATGGTGTCACTGAGCATTATGGTGGGGAAGGAGTCCCTGACCGTTGTTATAATGCCTTGATTCTGCCGAGTGGTTCCAGTGCTGGGTGGGAAAATCATCAGAGCTTGAAGTGACAGGACACCAAAAACCTAAGATTCCACATCAGCCTTCACATCACGATGCCAAACTGCACATAGAAATTGAACACAAAGGAAAACAGCAGATGCTGTCCACCTCAGAGTATCAGAGCAGGGATGCCCCTTGATAATGTGGCTCATCTGAATGAATCTGACATGTGCATGTTAGAGTGTGTAAGCTGTTCACCAATTAGTCTCTATCAGAGACTAGAAAAAGAGAAATACCCAGATCATATAATGAGACTGCGATCCCCAAATCCAGTAAGACCCACAAGAAAGACAGAAATCGGCTTCATACACAAAGCCACATGAAGAGCTGTGACCAAGCAAGCAAAGGCAGTGAGTTGAACTTGGTGCCATATGAAATACAAAATTCATGTTTACTGGAAGAATGAAATCCCAGGAGCATAAAATGCATTCACCTGAGAAGTAATAGCTGTTGTATTAGAAGATGATATGAGGACTCCATGTGAAATAGAGAAGGACCAATCAATTAAAATAAACTCTTATTCATTATAAAAACACATAGCATCTAAGATACAAAGAAATTACTTAACTCACAAAAAGTCACTATCAAAAATAGAGAGCAAACATCATGCTTATAGAATTCCATTAGAGTCGGTTTCTTTGGGGAGAGAAAATTAGGGAAATGATACTGGTAATTATTGTGATATAAATATATAATAGCGAGGAAATCTCAGGGAGGGGTAGGGAAGAGTAATGGAGTAAATTATCCCTTTCAGATGATCAAAACATATTAAGAAGCAACAATAATTAAAGCAATTTGGTGCTGCTAAAAAAAATAATAAATGCATGGAATCAAGACAGGATCCATGCATATAACCAAACATAAATAACAAATAGACCTGAACATGAAATACCTATAGTAGGAAGTCAGTAAGGAGTAGATGGGATTCCTAATGAATATGGAAATGCCTAGGGACAAAATAAACCTGAACTTCACATAGATAAAAGACGTTCAAAAGGAGCGAGAGGAAACCTACAGGGGAGAACACAGGTCGACTTCAGCTCCTGAAGTTGGCGCCATTTCTAGAGGGAGTGTGAACAACAGGTAAGATTGACAGTTTGGGCTGTGTACAAACCAACCAAGCTGAATAACCCAGAAAGGAAAATATGAAAGGGTATGTCAGCCATCCACACTGACTTGGAAAGATGCAGAGGTTTGAGAATATGAATTCCTGGCTGGGAGTTGCCCTGCCGTTCTCTTCTTTGGAGTCTCTAAAGACTGGTGATGGTTGTCGGCGTTTGAGTACATGTGTTCTCTTTGATGAAATGCTTGGTCTCAAACCTAGGTCCTCATACATACTAGACACCTATTCTATACTTAACCTACATCCCCAACCCATAAATACAGATTTTTTTGAATCCAACATTCTACATATAGGAGTATACAAACATGCCTCAAAAATACTTCAGACACATGCTTACAAATAGCCCACTGAGAGCAGTGAGAATTTACTTCTATTTTATGGCGTCTTGTTTTAAAGTTGAGTTTTCTAACAACATGGTAAAATACTTTTCATTTCATATCCAGCAGGGACGATTTAGATAGTAGGTTTATGGACCATTCACATCCTTCATGTTTTAATAAATATTCTTCAAATGGTCCTGAGCCCTTAGATCTATGGGACTTTGGGGGCTAGAAATCATACTGCTCTCTGCAATTCCTCCTTTTAACATGGGAACCCCAAAATATTACCAGCTGAGGGTTCAAATGCCTTCATCAGTTCAGCCTGTCCAGGGACTGACAGACTGCTACAGAGCAGGAATACAGATCCTCTCTATCTAGAGCAAGAAACGTAAATATTAAGTGTTGCTATTGACTGGATATTCTAATAATATATTAATATTGATATTTTTACTATGTGTGGGGAATTTTTTTATTTTTCCTAGACTGCTGGGATTGATAGTAAGATCACTCGGACATTAGTAGTAGTAGTAGTAGTGTGTGTGTGTGTGTGTGTGTGTGTGTGTGTGTGTGTGTGTGTGTGTACATGCATATGTAGATGCTTGTCCAAGCTTTCACATATGAAGGCTGGAGGTCATTGGCAGATGTCTTCCTTTATTAATCTCCACCTTTTTTTTTGAGACAGGGTCTCTCACTGAACTTGGAGCTCCCCAGTTAGCTGGAGTAGTAGGACAGTGAGCTCCCCAGATCCTCCTGTCTGCCCCACCAGCCCTGGGTTACAGGGATGTGCTACTGCATCTGGGTTGTGGGGCTCCAAACTCAGGTCCACATGCTTGCATGGAAGGTGGCTTTACCCATCGAGCCATCTCCTCAGCCCAAAGGGGTGTTGTGTTTTGTTTTCTCAGACTCCAGCATCATGAAGCACAAGTTAGATGCTCAATAAGTACTGATGGGAATCATCTAACTGGAATCTGGGGCCATCTTTCCTCCCACTGGCACAGTGCTTGCAATCAGAAAACAAAATGTCTTCTGTATCTATATAACAAACCCAGATTGAGTGTCAGGTCTACACATCACTGTGCTTTGGAGTAGCCAGCCTTGAGCTAGGTCATCTCAAACCAATAAAAACATTTCAACAAAAAGTGGGAAGAGACAAATATAGGGTACTGACCATTGCATTTTGTAGTCATAAAATCTTTTAAGGCATAGCATGGTGGTGCACAACCATAATTCCAACACTCAGGAGACTGAGGCTGGGTGATTATGAGTTCAAGGCCAGGCCATAGTTAGCCTGAGTTTGAGGCTAGCCTGAGCTATGTACTAAGAGGCTAGCCTGGACTACCCACTAACATGCTGTGTTGAAATAACAAAATATTTACTACAATCTAGTTTTTAATACCATGCCATTAATAAAAGAGCATTTAACACCTTTTGAAACATAGGAAGTCTTTTCAGTAAATACGGTGATTTCCTTCTTTCTTCTCATTTTGCCTCAGAATGATAGAAGCTTTATTAAGGATGAGTGTTATCCTGTGAGCTGTGTGGCTTGGGCTGGCTCCTTGGCCTCTCCGAGGCAGGAGTTGCTTATCTGTGGACATTTAGTCATTGACAACTATTAGCAAATTAGTGGACGATATTCATTTCGTGAGACTCTGTAGAGAGTAGCAGGAAGCCTATGACCTTGTTCCTACCATCTAAGATCTCCACATCGGAGGGAGAAGAGGAGCAGGTGAGGGGGAAGAGAGTGGCCCAGGGCCTTGTGGTCACTGGAGGGAGAAGGGTACTGTCACCATGCTAAAGAGAGCAAGCACGGTGTACAGGAGGAGACAAGAGGAGATGCAGGTCTAGTCAACAGGGTGGGATCCACTCCTTCACTGAGCACTCTCCAAGCCCCCTGCCTGTAGAGGCACCTCAGAGCCATCCTGGTCTGCCCTCATCTGAAAGCTATGTTCCTACTGTCTCTCCCATTTTAAGGATGAGCACACTGAGGCCTGGGAGTCAGCAATAGGGAACAATCCCAAAGCTGGTCAGCAGCACAGGTGGGATTCTGGTTTGGGACTTTGACCTACAAGCCAGGCTACCAGGCAGGCTCAACCATCTGCCTGCAGCTCTTGCTGGCTGACTATACTGCCCCTTCAGGGATCTGCAAGCTGGGCGCTAGACAACAGGCCCAGAGAAGCTATGGTGAGAGGGGTGGCCGAGGAACATGGCACCCAAGATGCATTGCCATAGAGAGCACCTAAAAGTGAGAAGCCTGTCTGAGAGAGGGTGGAAAGGGTCCATTCTGTAGCGTCTGAAAACAACAGCTCCTGGAGGTGCCTGGACTCAGGGCTTGCAGCCACACTTGATCTTCTTGACCTTCTCTTAATGCCTCTGACACTGTGTAGCTCAACCCTGGGCTCATGACAGTCAGTGGGGGGAAGGACCGCAGAAGCAGATACAAGATTGGGGGGAATTTCTTAATGAAAAGCAGAGCAAAATAAAATCATCAACAACAATGGAAGAAGAAAATCCCACAGCTGGTCGTTTCTTTGTTCATTTGCTGGCTTGTGTGAAACTGGGTCTCAGAGAGCTCAAGCTGGCCTTCAGCTGAGCTAACTGTGTGCCTGAAGCTGGTCCTACCTGAACTTTGTACTCTCCTGCCTCTACCTCGTGATACTGGGATTATAGGTGTATGATACCACACCTATTATTCACGGTGCTGGGGATCAAACCCAGGGCTTGGTACATACAAGGTAAGCAATTTACCAATTAAACTATATTCCCAGCCCTCTGGTTTTTACATTCCCTGCCAAACGTGAGTACACTCCCATGATGTCCATAATTGTTCCTCAGTCAACCATCCAATATTTAGTGCAAAATACTTATTTGTCTTTTATATAAAACTACTGTATGATACAAGAATGTGTCTGAGTACCTGCTTGTGTTGAACTTGGAACTGAAAGCCATGGGGGCTATGAAAATTCAATTACAGCCTCAGGTTGAGCCCTGCAGGAGAGAGAATTAACTAAAGGCATTGGCTTTTGCCAGGAGCATCTCTGTTGCTGTTTTGACTTTCCTGAGCTTCATGTTTTGGGGTACTATGGAGTGACCTGATAAATCTCTGCAAGAATAGGTTGGATGAGAACCATTTTCAACAAGAATTTGAACAGAGTGGTATAGGCAGAAGTTTCTGTCTTGCCATTCAGCTCCCAAATATAACCACACAGGGAATTATTATTAATTATAAATGATTGGCCAATAGCTTAGGCTTATTATTAACTAGCTCTTACAACTTAAATTTACTCATTTGGGGTGGGGTCGAGACAGGGTTTCTCTGTGTAGCTTTGTGCCTTTCCTGGATCTCGCTCTGTAGACTAGGCTGGCCTCAAACTCACAGAGATCCACCTGGCTCTGCCTTCCGAGTGCTGGGATTAAAGGTGTGTGCCACCTCTGCCCGGCTACTCATATTTATTAATTTACATGTTGCCATATGGCTTATGGCTTGTTACCTCATCTTCTACACATCCTGCTTCCTCTGCATCTGGCTGGTGACTCCTCATGACTCCACCCTTCTTCTTCCCAATGTCCTTGTAGTTTGGCTCTCCCACCTAACCTCCTCCTGCCTAACTATTGGCCAGTCAACTTTTATTAAGCCAATCAGAAGGCACCTTGGCAAAGACACATCTTCACAGTGCACAAAAAGATTATCCTATAACAGAGTAGATTCAAGGAGGTTTTATTTTTTTAAAAAATAAAGAATAGTATGAAAAGAATCTTCCATCATTAGGAAAGTGCTATCTAAAATCATAAGATAGCTTTATATACTTAGAATAACAAAAGCTTTATATAGCTTTATATACTTACAATAGCAAATGTTGACAAGAAAATGAAGACACCATAACTAGTATTTATTGTAGATAGTTATGAAAAAAATGGTAGATCCACTTTGGAAAATTCTTAATCAGTCTCCCACAGAGTTCACCATAGGATCAAGGATCAAGTTACCCCATTTGTAGGAATCTACCTGAGAACTAAAAATAGAGGCCCACAAGAGATCTATCTATACATGAATGCTAACAGCACTGTGAGCCATGGCACTAAAAGCTGAAAACAACCCAGATGTCCACCCACTTGGAAATAAACTGACACATCCCACTCAGGAATACTATTTAGCAATGAAAACAGAACTAACTGTGGGTGCCTGTTACACCAAAGATAAATCTATGAAAATGAAAAAAGTCCTCACAAAAGTGAAAATGCTTACAGAAGGATTCCATGGATATTGTGTCCTAGGAAAGGTAGAAAAGTAGGGGACACAATCAGATTTGTGAGTGCTTGGTCTGAGAACAGGAAAAGGGCAAGGGAGTGTGTGTGTGTGTGTGTGTGTGTGTGTGTGTGTGTTCATGAAAACCAAGTGTCGACAATGGAATCTTTTTCAATCACTCTCCCCCTTATTTTCTGAGTCAGGCATCAACTTCAGCTGTCAACTTGACGGCTGTGGGATGTTCTGTATGTCCTGTGGGAGCCCATTCTTGGGTTCCTCGTGGCTTTACCCAGCAGGTCCGCATAGAGGATGATTAGGACCACGGGCCTGAGT